GGGGAAGAAAATGAGGGTATATTGGTAATTAAAAATAAAAAATTTGGCCATGTCATCAAGTTTTGCCAAATAGATTTTACACGTAATTTAAGTAAAGAAAAAAAAATTTTTTTCCGTTAGTTAATATACCATGTAAGCCAAAATTTAACGGAGGGACCAAAAAAGGGCCGGATTTGTGAACAGTAAGGATCAAAAAGGGGATTTTTTTCGGTATAGGGACTAAAAAGGAGCTTTTTTCTATAGTAGAGGGCCAAAAAAGGTATTTAACCTAAAAAATTATATATAAAAAAATTTATCTTACACTATTTTTATTAAAAATTACATTTTATATTATTTAATAATTACAACTTTTGAATTTTTTTTAATTTTAAAAACATAATATTGTTGACTTCAATTCAACTCCTTCCGTCTCAAAGTCCCAAAATTTCGATCATGCATCAACACTCGAAAACGGCAAAAACTAAGGCCAGAACCACCGGCCTACCCCCACCGCCGCCACCGCCGCCGCCTGAAAGTTTTCCAGATTACCCATATCAGGAATCTTGAATCCTTGATTTCACATCTACCACATTCTAAATCAGAAAATCGTCCGAAGTTTTGTTCTCAGTTATTTGGGTGTCTTTTGTGGTGGCATCAACGGCGTCGTGCATAGAGGCTTCTCAGTCAGGTGCACCTTCTGTATCGCAGTAGCCGGAATCTTGCAGACAGCCGGAGGAAAACAAATATAACGACCACGGCGCTATTCCACATAATCGTGGCTACAACGGGCTGCCGTAGCAGCAGGGGCCGAGTCACTGGTTTCCACCGGGTATGCACCCAGATGTGATCAAGGCACTTGAGATGGTGAATAGAGACAGGAGTGGATTCATTGACGAGAGTGAGTTGCAGTAGGCCCTCTTCTTCTTGGTATCAGAGGTTTAACATCAGGACTAGCTAGTGTGAATTTCTCAGAATAGGTGAGTTTTATTGTTTGATTTATCGATTATCATTCTCCTCAGGAATCTGAATAGAATTTCAATTTTCTGGAATATGACTTCTGAGGTTCTTCGCCTATATCAATGATTGCAAGCAGCTGAACAAAGTTGGTTGCTTTTATGATTATGATTAACCCTTTTTACTTTTCTGTTTCAATTTCAATGCTTTCAATGAAATTATGTCGGCTATGTGTTCGATTTCAGGACCCAGAGAGTTTGTTGCATTATGGAATTGTATTGGTCATTGGCGGGGTAGTGATCTTAATTATCCATTGCCTTACTTTTAATTTACTCTTGTCTTCTTTCAAACTTCAAAGTGAATGATAGATTAACAATCATTGCTACTATTCTAAATCAAAGGGTAAGGGCTACGTTAAACCCTTACGCCTTTTTGTTTTTTGGATAAAATGTAAAATTTATTCCATCCAATACTGTAATACAATGCAAAGCAGTAGCTGATGCTGCTACAAAATCCATGCCGCTACAAAGACAATCAATTCCAAAATGAAACAAGAGTTACAAATCAATTCTTCACTGCTATCTCAAACCCCTATTGCTTAGCAATAAATCTAGGAGGAGGAGATGCTCTTGGTTTAGAGAAACCCAGCACTTTACTACGGACTTCAAACTGGATATCATATATGATCATATCTGCAGACTTGAAAACTTTTTGGTGATTTCTCCTGTTCCTTTCTAACCAAATGTGATAGACAGAAGCATTCCAAGAGAGCTTGATTAAAGTATTATGTAATAACTTCCTTCCAATGCATTTGCCCATCCAAGAAAGTAAACTATGCCAAGAGTTCATAGGGGGGATACCTGTTATGCTGCTAATATTTTTCCATATCTGCTTCATAAAACTGCACTTGAAGAACAGGTCTTCACTTGTTTCTGGTTCAGCATTACACAGTGTGCATGTGTCAACAAACCCTTACAATTTGATATAGAAAAGTACAAGTCTTAACTCAAAAGGGTAAGAATGGGAAAATTTATGCCTGGAGCTTACATAGTTGAGGGAATAGGCACCAATCACTATAGCTAAATGTAGATTTCTTGGACTTTCCTTTATTAAACAAAGGAACTTGTTAATTTTTATTAATTATCAAATGTTCTGAACTTTTGATGTCTTATTTCATACTTGAATGCTATGTAAAATCTTTATACTCAATATTAACAATCAAGTATGCCTTTTAACTGCTTGAACTAAATTTACACTAGCAAAATGTTATTTTGAAACTCTGCTGCTGACATGTAGGAACAGAAGTTTTCATACCTTCTAACAAGAAGAAGAAAATAATGTTGAAGTTATGCGGAGTGGGAAAATTGATTCAATGGAACTGACTACTGAGGGATATGCAATTCCGCCTTCTGTCCTTTAACTTCTCATTTCCAAGTATGATGATAGAAGTAACGGGCTGTTATCTTTTCTTTGATACTTTGAAACTTCTCTTTCATTGGATATGTAATTACATACCTGACATTCTGTTCTGTTTGATGCAACAGATGTGGGATGATTGTGAAGGTGAGAATGCATGCTTCTCTGACTTCTAAGTTCTAGTCCTTTTTGTTCATCTTGGAATCTCTTTTTTAATAATTGATAATTTTCCTTCCAAGTTTCTTTGAACAATATGATTTGTTTGTACATCTGATTGATCATGTAAAATTTTCAGGGCTTGACTGAGAAATTTAAGGAGAATGGATACACAATACACTGGTTCAGCAACACTTTCTTACAACACATTCACGGCCATGGTCATTCCATTCCCTGTATCACACGACTGAGTTTTGCAAGGTAATTTCTGCATGAGATATTTGGTTCTTGGAATTGATTTAAGCTAGAATTTTTCTGTTGAGCAATGACATGTCTCAATAATCTCTAAATGTACATTCAAAGAGCCTCCCATAGTGTTTCTGAATAATACTACTGTTTTCTGAGTTTTGACGATATCTTCCCTAAATGCTTACAAATTGATGGAAAAACAAAAATTGATTTATCAAAAGAAGAAAAGAAAAAAGGAATAATAGAGGAAGAACAATAGAAATACTCTAAATTTAGGCTAAAACAATATAAGTACTTGCAACTGGATGAGGAGATGGCCCCCTCGTGGTCCCTGTTTTGCGGTCCAGTATAGTCTGGACTGCAAAATATGGGACTCAAGTACTTATTATGCTATATAATACTAAAAATCAGCTAGTTGTGGCTACACCAATAATCAACAACTCTTGAGCCTAATTCAAACTTGAAGTCTTGAACAGTGAAGCCCTGCAAAATCTTCATCAACTTCTCTTTTATTAGGTTCTTGCTAAAGAATCAGTATATTCCTTCTAGTGCTTAGAGTATTTAATATATATATTTTTTTACTTTAAACTTCAGACCTGATATCTTAGTGGTGAATTGTCTTGAGGATTGATATTGTACATGATTATCTTCCAAAGTAGAGAAAAGAAATTGCTCATCTTCTGAAATTAGCCCTTTGACATGCAACCTTCCTAGATATAAATTAAAGCATCCCTGAAATTGTCTTCCTGCATAAACATGTAGCAATTAATCAATAACTTGACTGAAAAAGCAGATAATAGACCCACCCCAGATCAAACCTTCCAATCTCATACAAGCTAAACCCATCTAGTCAATAAATTGAGTGCTCTTTTCTTTGGCCAGGAAAATAGATAGGTTGGTCGAATGGGGTCTGGCTAGCTGTCAATTTTATCCAACTTGTGTCCATTCTGATGTAAGACTACCATGACACAAAGGCATGGTCCATGATATTGAAAACCACTAGCCACCAGCCTCCAATTTTTTTATGTTAAATGTCAACCGTTAATCTAACCTAACACTAACAGAACAAATTAGCTTCAGCTTTTTCGTGTGATTTATAAAGAAATTGTTTCCTCCCTTCCCCACATGAAGAATGCACCGAAAGAAATGAACCTTCAAAAGATATTTAAGCAGATAAATTGACCCCGAAAGGCTGAACTGAAACTGATATAGAGCTTGAAATTGACAATTTGGAAAAGGTGGTGCTATTAATTCTCTTTTACTGAAAGAAGGAAACGGGTGCAGAGCTGCAACCAAAATATAGTTAGGTTTTGGTTTTGGTGAGATAGAAAAAAAAAATATGGGGATTAAGTATGGCTACCGTAAGGTGGATTCCAAGGTCTTCTTCCCCTGATAGAGGCCAATTTGGACTTTTGCGTTGGTGAAGACATGAAGAATTTGCAAACAAAAAGATTCACCCAACGGAAGATAAGGTGGACGGAGACGCAGCACCATATCTTCATATTGCAAATAAATAAATTAAATGTGACTCAAATCATAAATTGGAGTTTATTAGATTAGAGCAATCAGAACCAACTGGTGCATGTAAGGAGTGGACAAACCTCAAAAAAAGGTATAAACCCTACCATCGTGTGTCTGAATGCCTAATTGTTTAGTTGTCTCAATCATCTGATTCAGCCCTTGACAGACGCCACAAAGATGTCTGTCCAGTAACAAATTTGTTATTCTCCTTTAAGAAATGTTCTTTTTGGACTGGACCAGCATGAAAAATGCTAGTTCTAAACTTGAAATGACTCAAATGCCCTCTAATCATCCTTTGAAATTTATGGTACTAAAGGTATTTAAGTCTTTCAATCTGAACTGGCAATTTTTTTTGCCAGTGGGATTGAAAAGAACATTTCTCCTCCCTTTCACCTTCTACCATTTCCAAAACTAAACAAAATCTCAGTTATGCTATATGTCTCGCAAAAGAGATCATGAGTATGAATATCTCACCTAAAAAGTTAGATGGTATTTGATCATCTCTACAAATTCTGCTTTTTAGTGATCCCTCCTCTCCATTAGTAGTCAAACTTGCATGTTCTTAAGTGCAAATTATTCCTGCTACGACCAAAATCAGAAGATTGAGGACAGACAATGCCTGCAAGAACAAATAGAAGATTAGGGGGATGTCATTACAAGCATCATCGTACTTTTATAAGTTGAAACTAAGAAAAGAGACCATATTTCTTACCCTTATTTGGGTTGCTGATGATGATGAATATATTATCTGTGGAAGATAACCATTTAATCCAATACTGTAAACTGGAGTACCATCAGGGTAGTATAGTCCGTAGTTCCTCTCTGATGTTGGTCCGGGCTTTAAATTCTCGTTGAAGAGTGCAAACACGTAGATATCAATGGGGACATTTGGTTTTGCTGGTGTCCCTTGCTTCTCTTCTATTCTCTGCAATAGATTACCATTATATAATCCTGCATTTTCTGGTGTAGCTCCCACTTCATTAGCATCCCCTTTGGATGGCCAACCTGTTTCGGATATCCTAACTTGAATATCAGTATGTCCCATTGCTTTGATGGCAGAATAGACAGCATCAACTTGAGCATACAACATGTTATCATATTTCAGATTTGTGCCGGAATCCACCATCCCTTGGTTAGGCTGGAAGAGTACATACTCTAGAGGCACCTCATTCGGGTTATCCTTATATGCGAAATAAGGATATGCGTTGATCAAGAAGGGTGAATTGATCTGAGAATGAAAATTCAGAAGGGGTTGCATATACTGACCAACGTCTTGCCTGAAAGTCCCGGATGAAGGAGGGTAGGAACTAGCCAAGATGTCAAGAGAATGTGCGGTCGAGACAGTTACTTTCTTGTTAAGTCCGAAATTAGCTAGACTTTGATAAACAGTTTGCATGGCTGGGAGCAGATTAGACCATAGCTGAGTGTCATTGGTTTTGAATACCTCATTGCCTACTACGATGCAACTGATCTGGGTTTGAGAAACGTAAGGCAGAACTCTCTGTTGGATCCAATTCTGAGCCTTGATAGAATCTCTCATGTTCTCAAGGTACTCATTCCCAAGACCAATGATGAAATCAACATTAGAATTGGAGAAGGCAGCCAGGACATGTGGATCGGCATCATAGAGTTTTACTCTGCTGATGTTGAGGGATGTGAGGAGGGCAGCGACCCGGGATGGAGATGGAAGATTGTTTGCTATCTGACCATAGTTGATTCCAATTCCCATACCTTGGATTTGGACTAATGAATCTGAAAAATCCAGAGAAACCCAGTTAAAATCCAAAGTGAAACATCCCAAAATAAACAAACAAGAAAGATAACAGATCAATATAACAGTTGCAGAAAAAATATCACAGATTCATACTCTCAACCAAATAAGAATTGGATGGGAAATTTTAACAGACAGTTGGTAAGCAAAAGCCGAAAACTTTAAGAATGCGCTTGCATTAGTTATATCTTTAGTCCCACTAGAAGAAACAAAAGGAAAGAAAAGGCAGCTTCTTTAGCAACCAAGTAGAAAAAGAAAATCTGGGAACTTTCTTAAAGCACCCTTTTCTTCCTTTTTCTCTGGACATTTTTCTTGGGAACCAAACAGCAAACAAGAAGCAGAAAGAAACCTGTGAGGGTCAGAAGGGCAAAGAAGATTGAGAGCAGAGCAGAAGTGGAGGCCATGGCTGATCCGATCTTGGATTTCCCCAAGACCCCAACAACCCCTTTAGCAGCCTATCATTAATCACCACTTAACGAATGACTGCACCTCTTTCGACAAACAGCAACCCCTCTCTGTTTCTTCGGCTTACATATTTCTTTAGATGTGTTCAGAAATCTTCTGCACTTTATAGACTATTAATTCTTTTTTTTTTTAATAAAATGTCATTGATGGAATTCGAACTTCGAATCCGAAAGGAGGATTGCACCTTCAAATAACCTGAAACCACTTTACCCGAAGCGTCAGGTGCTTTTATAAACTATTAATTAATAAAAATTAAAATAAAATATTTATGTTCATAAAAAATAAATATATATATATCTATGAGTTTTTTAATTGCTAGTTGTTTCGCTTTCACATATTTAATTA